GATCACAATTTTAAAAAATTGAATTATATTATAATCTTTAGTTGATTATTAATATTTACCAAAAATATTTTCTCAAAATATCAAAATTATTTATTAATATTAAACTCAAAACTAAAATGTATTGCATTATATTTAAAATATAATATGCATATTTATTGTGAATCTTTCTCTTTATAACTAACTACATTTAGGTAGTTTGAATGTTTGTTTGAAACTCTTGAGTGTATTACTTAAGAGGTTCTTAATTCGAATCCTCACGACTATTAATAAGAGATAGCTATTTGAGACTTACTTAACCGTTAACTTCGAGGCGAATCTCCACGACTGCTAATGAGGAATAATCACTGGAGACTTATCTAACTGTTAACTTCGAGGCTCTAGGGGATTAATTAGTTGAGATACGTATCAGCTAACCCACACCTCCAGATACCCGAAAAACGAAAAAGAATCTTTCTCCTTATAGCTATTTTATCATTAAATATAAAATGAAATTAAAAAAATTTCAAAAATAGTTAAGAGTGTGACAAAAATAGACAGAAGGGCAAAATAGAGAAATCAAAAGGAAAGAAAATCTTAACATACTTCTCAAGTCCTCAACAACCAAGGACATTGACGTAATCCTACACCATTCCAACATCAAAATAAAACCAAACAAAATAAGGAAAACAAAACGGTTAAATTTCCTAAACTCCCCTGATCTTAAATTTTTTTTAAAATACCTCCTCGTGTTATAAAATCATCATATTCCCCCTTACAAAAATCCCTCTAATTCTCAAAATCCAAATAGAACCAAATTGAATAGTGCATTTTGATTCGATATATGACAGTTTACATTCTAATTAAATATAAAAATACAAAATTCGCCGAACCGGCACCATGCGTCTTTATACTCTGACCGAGATAAGCTTCCGCGATTTCTCTCATTTTCGTCAGCACCATGGACGATATTTCTTCGGAGAGAACGTTTCTTCTCCTTTGTACTGAACAACGATCATCGGCTTCTCTCGCGTCCCGGAATCACCCTAAAGGCCAGTGCCTCATGTCACTTTGGCCCGTCGGGTCGGAGAAACGACGACCGATGAGTCTTTTCGCATCGAACACTGTGTTTTGCGGATTCATGGCCACTTGGTTCTTCGCACGTCGCCGATTAACCGCTCGGTGTCCGTGAACGCCACGTAGGACGGCGTCGTGCGGTTGCCTTGGTCGTTGGCTATGACTCTACGACCGGTCGTTTTGCCACACGCCCACGCAGCTGTAAGTCGTGCCGAGGTCTATGCCAATTGCTTTGCCTTCGCTTGTACTCGCCATTTTGAATCAGAATAATCCATGAAATCGATCAGATAAAGAGTTAAAGAAGATATTTTGAGCGTTTTCTGATGTTTGTGAGGAAAATCTGAAGTGGGTTTGGAACAAGAAGTTGATTTTATAGAGATATTTTAGAATTCCCGAGAAATTCGAGAATAACGAGTGGAAAGTAGAAGAAAGTTTTAAAAGAGAGAGTTCTGGGGGAGTTAAATGGCAGTCCATTATAGGCGGGTAGTTTTCTTGACGCTTTTGGGGCTGATAGTTGGTTCATTTACGTGTGTGTTGTACGGTTGAGTGGTGTAATTAGTTTGAACCGATAGGGTGTTTTTGAAATTTAGTTTCAGATTTGGTTCACTTTGACAGTTGAAAACTTGTCGAAGTGAATTACGGAAGTGGAATTGTTTTTTATTTCTTTCGGTGACGTAATTCAATCCCTTATCATTTCTTAATCCATTTAATTACGCGATATAGGAAATAATTAAAAAATCTATAAAAATTTGATGCTTAAGAAAGTTTAAATAATAAATATAACTTGTATTTATAAAATATACAAGATTGTGATTGATAATTAAAGATAATATTAAAAAAGCATTTTGATAACTTTTTATATTATTTATTGGTAACCAATGGGATTTTATCCTTTTAATAAATATTTGTTAATGGCAAACGGTGGTCCTAAAAGCGTTTTGGAAGCATTTTGAGTTGTTGATGTGAAGAGAATCGGCGCTTTTAAAGTGATGAGGTGGCAGGTAACAAAAGAGTCTAAATCCACGTGGCTTTTCTTCGTACACAACGGAAGAGGTAAATTCCGAATTGTGTCGCTTTTTTTTTAGGGTTATTTTATTAATTGCCGTTATGAAATAATAGATCTCTTAAGATTTCAAAAATAAATGTTAAGAGAGTAATTTAATAATATTTATAAATTTTTTATCACATAAATGTTAACAGTTCAATAACAGCATATTAACGATAAAGAGACTTTTTTCCTTAAGGGTCGATGTTTAAAACTTTTTTTTATAAATTTACATTTTTTTATTGATATACAATATAATATAGAGAATATAAAATTTGTAACATAAAATGATGTATTTTAATATAATCAGAAGACATATGGCTCCGTTTGGTTCACATTTTTACGTTTTGGAAAAGTTTTTTGAAAAAAATTAAAAAAAAAGTTGAATTGAGCGGTATTACGATGTAGGATTTACAAATTATAAAATACCCCTTATGTTTGTTTTTTACAAAACACCCCTAAATAAACATTAAAAGTTAATAAAAACACCCATATAATAACATTAAAGTTAACAAAAACACCCCAACCCCCCTCAAATACGGCCAGCCGGCCACCACCTCCGGAGGTTGGTCGGAGTCGCCGTATCAACTCATGACCGGTTGGATCTTGCCGGTCGTGCGCTGATATGACATTTTTCGTTCGATCTAGCCGTATTTGCTCGTTAATGCCGGCCAACAAACGGTCGTCATTGATGGTCAACGCCGACCGTTTGTTGGTCGTCGTTACCGACTGGTTACGACCAAAAATCTGGCCTTTTCCAGCCAAATGCACCATGGATCTGGCCGGAAAAGGCTAGATCGACGCACTATCGGCCAGATTCAGCCGGTAGTGCCACCTACCAAATTCCGGCCATTTTCCGACAGTGGTGATCGGAATCTGGTAAATGTGGATTGCTGGGGTTTTTTTGCAATTTTTTTAAAATATTTAGGGTATTTATTAAATTAACAATTTAGGGGTTTAAAAAAGTTGAATAATATTATGAGTTTTTAAGGCTTCGTTTGGTACAAATTTTGGTTTTTTGGAAAAGTTTTTTGAAAAAGTTAAAAAAAGTTGAATTGGGCGGGTATTACGATGTAAGATTTACAAATTATAAAATACCCTCTATGTTTGTTTTTTACAAAACACCCCCTATAATAAAACATTAAAAGTCAACAAAAACACCTCCAACCCACCCTCAAATACGGACAGCCGACCACCATTGCCGAGGTGGCCGGAGTTGCTGTAACAAAACATAAAATATTTAAGGGTATTTATTATTAAAACAATTTAAGGGTTTTAAAAAAAGTTGAATAAAGTTGAAAATATTATGAGTTTTTTGGGTATTTTACTGTTTAACTTTTTTGAGAATACTAAAAGTAGTATTCCCAAAATCCAACCAAACAAGCCTAATTTTTACTATTTAACTTTTTTGGGAATACTAATAATAGTATTCCCAAAACCAACCAAACGAGCCTAGAATTATAGAGGAAAAAAAAGTTTTATTTAAATAATAAACAATGGATTTTATAATCAAAATTCATTTCTTTGTCCAACTATTCATTTCTTTGTCCCACTTTGTTTATGAATAAGCTAGTTGAAACAATTTTATTCTATTTTGGTTTAATCATAAAATCATAAACTATTCTAACCACATAAACATAGATAAGAATAAGAGTATATTTAAAAATAATATTTTAACAGTACAAAAGGTCAATAATTTAATTGTGATTAAATAATTGACATATTAAGAATAAAATCAAGAGTTTATTTATAACTTCATCTTTGGCAACTGTCCTTTCAAAGAAAATTTTGTCATACCGAAATTATATAAAAATGTACTTTGCAACAAGGCAATCATCTTTCAAGTATAATATCATTGATGCATTATAAGTTTATTCCATATTGCGAGAGTGCAGTGGATTGACTAAATTTGACAATCTCATGTGAGAAAACCCTATACATAGGATCTATTTAAATTTAAGACATAATTGTTAGGAGTTTATAATTTAATTAATGATATAAATAAAAGGAAATTAAAAGAACGGGAATAGAACATATATGCCAAACATACGACTTCTACGATTGAAGAACATATTGAGGCACGAGTAAGAAGGAATCATAGGGAAAGAACTCTGTTAAACATGTAGAATAACAACTCAAGAAGAGCATTCGAACTATAGTGTAGCGGATTGTCAGTTGATCTAAATATGACAATATCATGTGGAATAAGACCAGGAAATAATATAGTCCCGACAATCACGTGTGACAATAAATAATTAAAATGGATTTTAATTTAAAATAATTTAAACAAAAGTAATCGAACATAAATTCATATTTCCAAAAAAAATAATAATAAATAAATGGATTTTAATTTAAAACAAGTTAAACATTAGTAGCCGACAATAATTCATATTTCCCAAAGAAAAAATCTAAAAAAATGTTTATATACTTTTTTATTGGAAAATCCCTGAATTATTATACAAAATATTCTAAATAAATGCACATTTATCTAAAGACGAATCCCAAAAGATGCTCTCATAAGAAATCCTTTTAACCATGTAAATATATTTCTAAGAATGATATTAATAAGAATTGTTCTATAGTGTAGAAATAGTGGCTCAATAAAAATTCTTAAATATATTATTTAAAAAATTTTAAATTTTAATTCCTTAATAACTCGATAAGGAAAAAAGTATTAAATTTAAATCTTTTCCTGATTTTTGAGAAAAAAAAAAAACCCAACTAACAATTCTAACACCCAAGTAATTAATTAAAATACACATAAATTAACTTAAATATTTCAGCATCTTCAAAGCTTCAAATTTGTCTCTCGTTTTATTCAATTGAGTTCAAGATTGTTAATTTCTATGCTGAACCATAATATTACTTGCAAGTAATGGGTATGTATATTTTGCTAGCTCTATTAAAAAACATTTGATAATATATATCAAAAACTTTATTTAGAAAAGAGTATTTATGCTCTTACTACACCTTACATTATGTTACTCTATTTTTGTAAAAGAAGAAAAAACCAAAACATTTTACATGCAAACCTTAACCCAACCCATATACAAATCCCAATGGATCAATCCATGACCCGGACCAACACGGGAAACAGAGCAGTCAAAAATCAAAACAGAGCACACCAACTCTGTTCTTCAAGGCCCTCAAAACATGAATTTTAATCAACTTCTTCAATCTTCGGCCCTGCACCTCCTCCAGACCCGGCTGAGCCACCACCATAGCTGCTGGCGCCACCCGGCATATCATCACCCGTTGGCATGTCAGCACCAGCGCCGCCCTGGTACATCTTAGCAATAATGGGATTGCAAATCCCCTCCAACTCCTTCAACTTGTCCTCGAGCTCATCAACTTCAGCCAACTGGTTCGCATCCAGCCACTCTATGGTCTCAGCCACCGCCTTCTCGATCTTCTCCTTCTCCTCTGGCTTCAGTTTCCCGGAAAACTTCTCATCCTTAATGGTGTTCCTCATGTTATATGCATAATTCTCCAATCCATTTTTCGCCTCCACCTTCTTCTTCACCTCCTCATCCTCAGCCTTGTACCTCTCCGCCTCCTTCACCATATTCTCAATCTCTTCCTTGCTCAACCTCCCTTTATCATTCGTAATGGTGATCTTGTTCTTCACACCAGCCGTTTTATCTTCCGCGCTGACATTGAGAATGCCATTAGCATCAATGTCAAAACACACATTGATTTGGGGAACTCCTCTTGGCGCAGGAGGGATCCCGGTGAGCTCAAACTTCCCAAGAAGATTATTATCCTTCGTTCTCGCCCGCTCGCCTTCATAAACTTGGATCAAAACGCCCGGTTGATTATCCGAATAGGTCGAAAAAATCTGCTCTTTCTTGGTAGGGATCGTCGTGTTCCTTGGAATCAAAGTAGTCATCACTCCACCGGCAGTTTCAAGGCCAAGACTCAGAGGCGTAACATCAAGAAGCAACAAGTCTTGAACCCTCTCGTTTCCTTCCCCGGTCAGAATGGCAGCCTGAACCGCCGCTCCATACGCCACAGCTTCATCGGGGTTAATACTCTTACAGAGCTCCTTCCCGTTGAAGAAATCCTGCAAAAGCGACTGAACTTTCGGGATTCTGGTGGATCCACCGACAAGAACCACTTCATCAACATGACTTTTATCAACCTTGGCGTCTCTCAAACACTTCTCCACAGGCTCCATACACTTCCTGAACAAATCCATGTTCAGCTCCTCGAACCTGGCTCTGGTAATCGTCGCATAAAAATCAACCCCTTCGTACAAAGAATCAATCTCGATTGTCGTTTGACTGGTGGAAGATAAAGTTCTCTTCGCCCTTTCGCACGCAGTTCTCAATCTCCTTAAAGCTCGAGCGTTGCCGCTGATATCTTTCTTATTCTTTCTTCTAAACTCCGCCACAAAATGATTCACCATCCTGTTGTCAAAATCTTCACCGCCCAGATGTGTATCTCCCGCCGTGGCTTTAACTTCAAAGATCCCTTCTTCGATCGTCAACAATGAGACATCAAATGTCCCGCCGCCGAGGTCGAAAATCAGCACGTTTTGTTCGCCTTTTCTTGAAGCTTTCTTGTCCAAACCATAAGCAATGGCCGCAGCAGTTGGTTCATTAATGATTCTCATCACGTTAAGCCCCGCGATCACTCCGGCGTCCTTCGTGGCCTGCCGCTGAGAGTCGTTAAAATACGCCGGGACCGTCACCACTGCGTTCTTTATACTCTGACCGAGATAAGCTTCCGCGATTTCTCTCATTTTCGTCAGCACCATGGACGATATTTCTTCAGGAGAGAACTGTTTCTCTTCTCCTTTGTACTGAACAACGATCATCGGCTTCTCTCCGGGTCCCGGAATCACCCTAAAAGGCCAGTGCCTCATGTCGCTTTGGACCGTCGGGTCGGAGAAACGACGACCGATGAGTCTTTTCGCATCGAACACTGTGTTTTGCGGATTCATGGCCACTTGGTTCTTCGCAGCGTCGCCGATTAACCGCTCGGTGTCCGTGAACGCCACGTAGGACGGCGTCGTGCGGTTGCCTTGGTCGTTGGCTATGATCTCTACGCGGTCGTTTTGCCACACGCCCACGCAGCTGTAAGTCGTGCCGAGGTCTATGCCAATTGCTTTGCCTTCGCTTGTACTCGCCATTTTGAATCAGAATAATCCGATGAAATCGATCAGATAAAAGAGTTAAAGAAGATATTTTGAGCGTTTTCTGATTGTTTTGAGGGAAAATCTGAAGTGGGTTTGGAACAAGAAGTTGATTTTATAGAGATATTTTAAGAATTCCCGAGAAAGTTCGAGAAAATACTAGTGGAAAGTAGAAGAAAGTTTGAAAAGAGGAGAGTTCTGGAGGGAGTTAAATGGCAGTCTATTATAGGCGGGTAGTTTTCTTGACGCTTTTGGGGCTGATAGTTGGTTCATTTACTTGTGTGTTGTACGGTTGAGTGGTGTAATTAGGTTGAACCGGGGAGGGTGTTTTTGGAAATTGTGTTTCAGATTTGGTTACACTTTGACAGTTAGAAACTTGTCGAAGTGAATTACGGAAGTGGAATTGTTTTTTATTTCTTTCGGTGACGATAATTCAATCCCTCTTATCATTTCTTAATCCATTTAATTACGCGATATTTAGGAAATAATTAAAAAATCTATAAAAAATTTGATGCTTAAGAAAGTTTAAATTAAAATAATATAACTATTATTTATTAAAATAAATACAAGATTGTGATTGATAATTAAAGATAATATTAAAAAAGCATTTTGATAACTTTTTATTATTATTTATTGGTAAACAAATGGGATTTTATCCTTTTAAATAAAATATTTGTTAATGGCAAAACGGTGGTCCTAAAAGCGTTTTGGAAGCATTTTGAGTTGTTGATGTGAAGAGAATCGGCGCTTTTAAAGTGATGAGGTGGCAGGTAACTAAAGAGTCTTAATTACACGTGGCTTTTCTTCGTACACAACGGAAGAGGTAAATTCCGAATTGTGTCATTTTTTTTTAGGGTAATTTTATTAATTGCCGTTATGAAATAAAGATCTTTTAAGATTTCAAAAAAATAATGATATACAATATAATAAGAGAATATACCAATTGTACATAAAATGATGTATTTAATATATCAGAAGATATAGAATTTATGGAGTAAAAAAAAAAAAAAAACTTTTATTTAAATAATAAAACAATGGATTTTTCAATCAAAATTCATTCTTGTCCAACTTGTTTTTGAATAAGCTATTGAAACAATTTCTATTCTATTTTGGTTTAATCATATATCAAAATTATTCTGACCACAATAACAAGATAAGAGTATATTTTAAAAATAATTAATTTTAACCATAAAAGGTCACATTTAATTGTGATTAAATAATTGACATGATTAAGAATAGGTCATGAGTTTATTTATAACATCACTTTGGTAACATGTCCTTTCAAAGAAAATTTTGTCATACCCAAATGATATAAAAATTACTTTGCAACTAAGCAAATTTATCTTCATCAAGTATTGATACATTGATTTGTCAATTTGTCATAATTTTATTCATATTACAAGAGTGTATGGATTATCGTGTTTGTACTAATTTGACAATGCCATGTGAGAAAACCCTACAACGTGCGAGCTATTTAAATTTAAGACATCTTATGTTTATGAGTTTATAATTTAATTAATGATATAAATAAAGGAAATTAAAAGAACGGATAGAACATATATGCCAAAGATACGACTTCTATGATTGAAGAGCATTGAGTACGAGTAAGAAGGAACATTAGGAAAGAACTACGTGAAGACTTAGGAATAACACTTAAAGAAGAGCATTCGAACTATGGTTGTAGGGATAGTCGTCAAGTCGATCTAATATGACAATATCATTGGGAATAAGACCAAAGTTTTGTGCCATTACTACTCTACGTAAACCTATTGGAGAATGTCCTCTGTAACTTTGGAATCATCCACTTGATGCCATCGACGATATTTAAGATTAAGACATGCATTCGGGAATTTTCTCTCTACCCCTTCTTACTTTTAAAGTTAAGAGTATCTTATGTTGTTGAACTGATAAGCCTTTTGATTATCGTAACCTCATCCATTGCTCAAGAACAAAAAGGGTTATGGCGGCATATTGACCTTTTATCCAACGCAAAGAATAAAAAATAAAATAGAAACATATATGGCAATAGGGTGGGCTGCCACGATCAAAAGAAACTTTGCCAAAAAGTGCAAATTATATTTGTACTACTAACTTCAAAAAGCCCACAGAGAGACGTTACTGAAGAACTCAATCTTCTTTAAACCCCCAAACAGGCCGCAAAAACAGCAATTCCCTCTATTCCTTTCCGACGTCATACACACGTGGCGAAATCAGGAAGTCCAACCCCTGCCCCACTGATCACAGTAGCAAAAGTGAGATAGATACTTATGATTGGCCTGAAACACCGACACGTGGCATTGCTGTCAAGGTGAGATTGGCGGGATAGGGACACGTGTGGGTGTTAACCGGTTAAAGTTAGGGCAAACGAGGGAGCGTGAAACGATCGTTTTGGTTTTGGCATTTTGGGAAAGCGTTTATCAGGAAGTGGAAGTGATTTTTCGGGAAGCACCTTTTTTCTTATAATTTGAGGACTTGAAATACCGATTTTGTCCTTGAGTCATTACTGACACGTAGACATATGATAAGTTGAAGATAATTTACTGTTATACCCTTATTGTACTCTTACCAAGTACTCTTGTAGTCTGTGATCAAAAAGTACTTCACCTAACTTGCCTGCTTTTCGCTACAGTTTAAGCCTCCGAATATTCTAAAATAATTTTTTTTTTTAAATTTGAATATTCAAGTGAAAATAATTTGAGAAATTAATTATTTTATATTTTAATATTAGATTATTGAACTTTGAGGATTATTTTGATAAGTATAGAATTCAAAATGTTTTTGTGATGGATTTCAAATATACGGAATGTTTGAACTTTGAATTGTTTAATTTAATTAAATGTATAAAAAAAATTCTATTTTTTGATTTTTTTTAAATGTGGAAAATGTTAATTCTATTATAATATATATTTATATAATTCATTTATGATTCTTTCTAGCTTAAAATTAGCTGAAAATTGTTTGATTCCTTACATGCAACCGTTATTCATCTCTATGAATGATCGAAATAACCCGATCGATCACAATTTTAAAAAATTGAATTTATTATAATCTTTAGTTATTATTAATATTTACCAAAAATATTTCTCTCAAAATATCAAAAATATTATTCATATTAAACTCAAAACTAAAATGTATTGCGTTATATTTAAAATTAATAACATATTTATGTGAATCTTCTTCTTATAACTACCTCTAAGTAGTTTGACGTTTGTTTGATACTTTTGATGTATAACTAAGAGGTTCTGAGTTCGAATCCTCACGATTATAATAGGATAGCCATTGGACTATTTAACCGTTAACTTCGAGGCAATCTCCACTACTACTAATGAGGAATAGTCACTAGAGATTTACCTAATTGTTAACTTCAGGGTCTTGAGGGATTAATTAGTTGAGGTGCGTCAGCTGACCCACACCCCCTATACCCGAAAAACGAAAAAGAATCTTTCTCCTTATAGCTATTTATCATAATATAAAATGAAATTAAAAAAAAATTGAAAAATAGTTAAAGGTGTGACAAAATAGACAAAGGGCAAAATAGAGAAATCAAAAGGAAAGAAATCTTAACATACTTCTCAAGTCCTCAACACCAAGGACTTGACGTAATCCTACACCATTCCAAACTCAAAATAAAACCAACAAAATAAGAAAACAACGGTTAAATTTCCTAAACTCCCTGATCTAAATTTTTTTTAAAATACTCCTCGTGTTTATAAAATCTCATATCCCCCTTCAAAAATCCCTCTAATTCTCAAAATCCAAATAGAACCAAATTGAATAGTGCATTTTGATTCGATATTGACAGTTTACATACTAATTGAAATATAAAATACAAAATGTAAATACTCTAATTGGATTATACTATATACATAATTGTACTATTTTTCTTTTTAAATTGGAGAATTATCATTAGACGAACCTTTTTCTTACAATACATTAATTCGGTGTATTACTATATTATATACAACTTAATTTCATTAAAAGCGAAATTGACTACGGTAAGACTATAACTAAAATAAATATTACTAATCATTTTACACATTTATTCGGTTTAAACACTATTTTTGGTTCATTAAAACAAATTGGTATCTAATGTGTTAACTTCATTTCATAAAAAATGAAATTGGCAAAAATAAGGCATAATTTTTATACTAATATTTTTACATGTTTGTTATTATTACTATTTTTTGTTCTTGAAATAATTTGTCTTTCATTTACCTAAATTATTCAATTATAAAACGTGCAACTATATACCAAACCATAAATCTGATCCAAACCAAACCAACCCACTTAATTTTTATTAAAGATTTGGCTCGAGTTATTACATCGCGCACACCGCTTACCACCCTAATTATAGTTATAAATTGGGATCCAAAGTCCAACCCTTGTAGGCGACTATACATAGTTCCGCAAGACTATAAGGTATATCGTCTTAGGATATTACGAAAGTTTTTGAAACTATAAGGGCTTCTTGTAATTTCCAAACCCCCCAAATAAAACCAACCAAAACAAAAACACAACCGAAACTCTCTAATCAGAGAAGGGTTTCTATTCTCCTCTCTCTCCTCGCACCGTCCCTCTCATAACCTTTCTCTTCCCTTCTCTCTTCGTTTCTCCGCGCAGAGGGAGGACAGATATCCCCAGAAACACCATCTATATACACCTACGTACACCAAGTTTCCTTTCAACAATTCCCTTCCTTTCCTTCTTTTTGCGCCATCTCTCTCGAGGTTTTTTGGTTGTTGCCCCTCGTCGTTTTGGTTGAATTTGATATCGTTATGCACAAGGTGATCAGACGGTGCTATTTTGAGGCCTGGTGGTGGTCGTGGAAGCAGCAAACCCGACTCTTTGGTGCTTCTTCTTCGTCTTCATCGTCGTCTGCGCCTCCGTCCTTGGCGTTTGGTTCTTTCTCTTCTGATCTCCCTGTTTTACGTCCCCAGCGCGGCGCCTGCCTCTTCTTTCCCGTTAACGGTATATTCATGATGAACTGGGTTTGTTTCTTTTGGATCAGGTGGTTTTTTTCATCTGGTTTGTGGCTCTTTTGGGTTGTATCGATGAGTTTTTGTTTGTGTTTTGATGGTAGGGATTGAATTTTTGGCTAGAGCTTATTGTTAATGAAATATGATCTTTTGATTGATTTTGATATACTCTGGTGTGTGTGTTGTTATTGTCTGGTTGGTAATTTTCGGTTTTTCTTTTGCCACTTGAGCTTGGTGGTGCTTGCTTATTCTTTTGTTTAAAGAAAATTTGTATTTTTTGGTTGTTGGTTTTATGTGGGTTATGAAATGGGTTAGACAGCCGCTGAATATATTGGGTTTTTTTTCTTCCTATTTTCTAATTTATGGTTGTGTTTAGGGGCAGAAATATGGCTTGTTTGTGTCAAAAGTTAAAATTTTGATGCAATTTTGTTTCTTTTGAAAGCAGATGATGCTTTAGAATATTATAAGTGGAAGATTGAAAAGTTTATCTTTTTGTATTTGCATCAGCATGTTGTTGCAAGTCCCTTGTATACGTGGTTTTGATTTTCATCCAAAAACCAAATGAAACCCAAAAAAAAAAAAAAAAAAAATGTATTTTATTGTGCTATAGGTTTTGGATTAATGCCTTAGAGTGGAGATAATGTAAAATGTCCTAATTCTTGGTGTGGCACTAATACGTGTACTCGCTTGTAAATAGGGACGGACAAGAATATGTAGGCTTTAGGTGCATCTGTGAGTTGTGGGTTGCCCATGAGGACCTATGGATATTTGGCTCTTTTAAGAAATTAACAATTTTTCCTGTAGAAATTTTAATTTTCATTAATTCTGTAAATATTGTTTTTGTGTAGTTCTTTCCTGCATCATTTCTCTTTCACGGATTTCTTCTTGTAGCAATTTGCTTTAGCTGTTTTTGAAGGTTTTGGACCCTTTCGTTGGAGACTGGAGATGCAAGGTTTGAGTCGTGAGCGTGTGCGATCCACTCGAGACCAGCTGTTGCAGCTTAGAGAGGTTATATCTTGTGATCTTACAGCTTTTAAATGCAACTATTCTATTGCATATAAAATTTAATAAGAATCAATCATTTTGAATCTCTTTTTTTCTAGAATAATGTCTGAGTATGCACCTTATCTCCTTAGTACGATTGTTGTCTCTGATGATATTCTCAAATTAAACGGAGAATTTGATGCTGAATTTTGGTGAAGAGCAAAACTGGGGTTGTGGCTGAACGTGCTGAAATTAATGTAGTTAGAGTTCGGCCAAATTTATTTGCTTTGTAATTATTGCATTTATTTGGCTGTGGTTTTTTGTGTGCAGCGTGTGGTTTGGTGAGGTGAATGGAATGGTTATTCTATGGCTGGCTGAATTTTTTTTTAATCAGATTTTTGTTGTTTGCATCAAATGTTCTTGTGATTATTTTATCTCTTTTTTTTTTTTTTTTTTTTTTTTTGTATATTTTACTTTTTCATATGACAATCCTTTTGCCTGCCTCCAGCCTCCATAATCACCTCAGAGTCGTTATTCTGACAGATAATCGTCGGAGCCGTCCTGCACAGTTTTCTCCCTCTGGAGAGGAGAGATCACGAGACAATAGAGAGTATGGTGGACATATGAGTCCAGACAGGATGCAAATCAATTTAATCGCCAGACCTCAATCACCAATTTTCAAGGGCACAAACTCGTCTAACCAAGGGGTAAGACACGATTTAATTGATCTTTTTATGTGACTTCTGTAGTTTTTTTATTATTGTTTATTGTATCACTTAAGTTTCTAAAGGATTATTGTCTTGGCTACAGGGTACTGTCGTTTGTGTATATGTATATTGTTTCTTTCTTTGTGTTATTGAATTGTTTTGAGTTTAAACTTCTTCAGCAAAGATTACACAGACCCAAGTATATTTGGAAACGCAGTCTCTTCAGATGGTCTTATTTGTAAGCACATGTGCTTCCTCCTCAATTTCTGTTGCATATATAGTATGTAACTGGGTCTTTATGGTAGCTTCCAATTAGCTTGTATCCAATACCTAAAGTGTTGATCAAGAGTTATTCCACCAGCACTTGTATACATTTTACATAACCGTTTTTTAAGCTAGGATTGGTTACTTGGATTTACAATTGAAGCCACAATTTTCCTTTTGTGTTAATTTTTATTTATAATTTTGACTTAAAGCGAATGAAATATTTCCACTGACAATTACAAAAGAAGTTTATTGCTTGTAGAATTCTTCCATTGTCTATTTGTGGATATTTTTTGACTCTAATTTCAAAATATTTTTTAATACTTGAATCAGGGACCAGCTCCTGTTTTAGTCAAGCTGAGTTTCCATGGTCGGCTAAAAGGGGAGTCTCTCTGACAACGAACGTGTCTTGAAGTACTGTAGGGTAATGCTTTTATTGATTTATTTTCTGCATGTAATATTGATTGAAAACTGATTTACAACCTTGTAACATAATCATTGTTTAATGTTTGAGTTCCAAATATATCTAGCCATGGTGAAGATGTTATCTTAATTAATAATTATTCAATGGTTGATTTCTGATGTAATCCAAATTTATTGCTTGTAAATGCTCATGAAACATGAGTAGCGACTGGTTTTTGATTCTTATTCTGTTTCCTTTCACAGTATTTTGAATAAACTTACCCCTGAGAAATTGATCTACTTAAGGGTCAACTCATGAGACTCTGGCATCACCTCAGCTGATACTTAAAGGTCTGTTCCTTTTTTTATTTTAATGTGTTAGATCTTCAGAAATTTATCAAGTTGTTTACTGAATTTGTTCATTATTTGCAACAGAGTTATATCTCTTATATTTGATAAGGCTGTTCTTGAGCCCACATTTTGCCCCATGTACGCTCAACTATGTTCTGATTTGAATGAAAAGCTTCCCCCTTTCCCTCGGATGAAACCTGGTGGGAAAGAAATCACCTTTTAAGCGCTCCTCTTGAATAATTGCCAGGGGGCGTTTGAGGGTTCTGACAAACTAAGAGAAGTAAGGCAGATGACTACTCCGAGCAAGAAATGGAGCGTAGGATAAAGAAAGAATGCTCAAGCTTCGTACTCTTGGAAACAACGTTTAATTGGTGAGCTTCTGAGCAGAAATGGTGCCTGAAAGATTGTCCATCACTTGTTCATGTTTGTGCGGGGATGGTGATTGAAAAGATTAATATTTGAGACATTTTATGTGTTATTTAAATGTTGCTCATTTTTTGCTCATTGTGTTATTCAGGAACTTTTGGGCATGATAGTGCATCTTGTCCCGCAGAAGAAATTGTTGAGGCCATATGTCAGTTTTTCAACACCATCGGTAAGCAGCTTGATGAAGTCCAAAATCACGGCGTATAAATGATAGGTACTTTACTAGGTTGAAGGACTTGACTTCAAACCCTCAGCTTGCTCCCCGACTGAGGTTCATGGTTCGGGATGTTCTAATCTGCGTACAAACAACTGGGTTCCCAGGAGAGAAGAGGTAGGCTGATGTTTATTTTCCCAAAATTTTTGGCCTATATGATACTTTATAACTGTTGATTATGTTTTATATCTATTTATCTCTTTCTCCTTTAATATTGCAGTGAAAGCAAAAACAATAACTGAAATTCATTCAGAGGGCAGAAAAAAATCTAGGGTTACGTCCGGGTGCTACTGCAAGTATGAGAAATAATCGTGTCTCTGGGGCTCAGGTGTTAACTGGTCCAGGTGGCATGCCCATCCCTCGTCCTGCTCAGTGGTATGATGCCTGGCATGCCAGGAACCAGAAAGATGCCTGGGATGCCTGGAATTGATAATGTAATTGGGAGGTACTAGCAACGGAGTATGCTAGGGGTGATGGAGCTGGAATCCAGCCGATGGGACGTGTCCAGTCAGCATCACTTCACACGAGGCTGTTACCTCAGGGTACTGGGCTTAATGAGTGGCAGAAGTGCCCTTCTGCAGGGGAGTGGTACCCTCCTGGTTCCACTCCCCTTCTATTCTGTCTCAGAACCTTCATTCAATCTCCTGCATCTTCTAAACCTGCTCCGGCACCCTATGTGCCCTCCAGTTGTGGAGAAACCACAGGCACCAGCTGTAGGTTGAACATGGATGAACTTCGTAAAAACACAGTTTCACTTCTCGAAGAATATTTCAGTACCTAGATTTGGGTGAAGCACATGACATGTGTGAGGAATTGAAGTCTCCTGGATACCAACCTGAGTTTGTCAAAGAATCCATCTCCCAGCACTTGAGAAAAGTCCACCTCGTGTTGATCCACTAGCGAAGCTCTTGGAACACTTGCTTGCTAAGAAGTAATTACACCTAAACATAGAGACTGGATGCTTGAACTATGCAGGTTATGGATGATATTGCTATTGATTGCCAGCACCTAATATTTTGGCGAGATTATGTGGAAGCTCATTTTGGTGGGGGGCTTGGATTTTAAGTCTTAAGGAGATCCTTACAAAGATGAAGATGACAGGTTCCAGAAAACTCTTTTTGATGAACCATGAATACACTTAGTTTGATGTCCATCTGGGCAAAATATTTTGGATTCCCAAGCATCTGATATCGAGTCCTGCCGGAGTTTGTTCTGCAGTCTAATATTTCTATGAGGAGTACTTCAGTTCATTATCCACAAGACCTCCTGTGCTAGCTTTTAGGGCATCATAACCTTAAGGCAAGCGACATGTTTATTTGATCAGGGAGTGCTGCCAAAAGCAAAATAGGTAATTTTTATTTGAGTTTTGTATATTTTCCGAGGTCAGAGCTATAATGTTTTATTGAGGAAAAAATCAAACTATAAAGCCATGGATTTTGTTCTCAGTTATGCCTAATATTGGTCCTAATCGCTTGAGAAGAGTGGCCCTTTCGAGGATCAGTTGTTTTGTATTTGATTAGTTTTTGAATCATTTTTACTTTCTTGACTGGGTAAACTATTTTATTGTTAAAATGTTCACTTCATAAAATCCCCAAGTTTTGCCTTTCCACTACTGAACAGGATACTAATTATTCTTTCTGCCCCTTTTCCGTGTCTGACTTTCTTCTATAGTTGGAATCTCCTGATTTTGAGTTTATTTTGCCTTTTGCTGTTCTTGAAAACTGTTGTTTGTTGGAAAAGAACATAGTTCTCTTTGATGATCTCAGTATTTGATAGTATCATGGTTCAGTGTTGTATCTAATGATTCTCAATAGTTAATATAATGTTTCAGTATCGTATTTGTAATTTTCAAAGTCATAACATCATCCTTAATACGGTTCTATTTGGAATCATATAACATGTTAAGGAATCACATAACTAACTTAGAATGAATGGTTTGTGTCACATGATACTACTCTCAGACCAACCCCCAGAAAAAGGAGGAAAAGGTCCATGAACATGAAAAGGGGTGCGCAAAATACTAAAATGATGACAACTTTTGAGTGGGAAAGTGACCTCAAGTGGATTATATATATATATTTTTATTTTTTTTGACAGAATGAATGAATTTTGTGGCACTTTACTTTTGTTTGCTGCTGCAAGAACTGCAGCATTTTTGCATAGGGTCTCAATCTTTTGATCCCATGATGCTCACACCCCATCCTTCTTATGGCAGAGCTATGTAAAGTTCAAACCTGCCGGTTTCTTCTACATTTCTATGAATGGAATTTTCCTAGAGGTGTCGGCTCAAAACTCAGTCCTCGGACCCTCCTTGGTAGGACGCACAGCCCAATTTAGGTGGGACCGGTCCCAGGTCCGGGCTTGTTAATTTTTAAACCCCTCAAATATACCATAAACCCTTCTCAAAAGTATTAAAGCCTTC